CCCTCCTCCAGAGTTCTGCAAGTCGGAAAACCCAGAAAAAGAAAAAAAAGAAGGTGTGTTATGATCATCCCTTTCTGGCATGGTGAACTTGATCCCTCTTTATTCCACCTTCCTGGGTCGTGGTGGGGTATGGACTTTTGTATAGATAGATGCTCTTCAACCTATGATGGGGCTATGTCCTGAAAAGGCCATCATAAATGGAAAATATTTAAGTAAAAAATGGATTTAATACACCTAACCTACGGAGAACATCATAGCTTAGCCTGGCCTACCTTAAATGTGCTCAGAACACTTTAGCCTACAGTTGGGCAAAATCATCTAATACAAAGCCTGTTTTATAATAAAGTATTGAATATCTCATGTAATTTATTGAATAAATTATCAAGTATCATGATATACATATTGGTTTCACGCCACTGTGAAGCTGAAAAATCGTTAAGTCAGCCATTCTGAGTCAGGGACTATCTGTATATCCATATTTCAGCCCTGACCCAGAGTACGAAGCTATTTTTATTTCTGGTACCTCAGACACTACCCCCAAGTTAGAAACTGACAAGTCTTCTCTCTGTCCTTTTCTTGAATATATAGGCCTCCAAGACTGCAGAGAATGCCACCAGTGGGGAAACATTAGAAGAAAATGAAGCTGGGGACTGAGGTGGGTCCCATCTCCCCAGCTTGCTGCTCCTGCCTCATCCCCTTCCCACCATACCCCAGGCTCTGTGAAATGCAGTTCGTGTTCTACACCCAGGATCGCCAGCAGAGCGGGGTCTCCCTGCCCCCATCCCAGTCCCCCAACCCACTCCCAACAACAACCAGCTCCAACTGACTCTGGTCTTGGGAGGCAAGGCTTCCCAGCCACCGAAGACTACTTTAAATAGAAAAAAAGAAATTGAATAATAAAATCAGGAGTCAAAATCCATCGTCTTCAGGCCCCTCTTTCTAGCCTTTTCTACTATCTGCTTGGTCAAGGTTTGTGGCCATACCACAGAACAGGGAGAAGGCTAAATTAGCCACCACTGCTAAACACTCAGCTGACTTTTTTTTTTTGTAATGCCACTCTGATGTCAGCATTTTACCATCTGTTTGGGCCTTTTTCCTCTCTTTTCCCACTCCAAGTATTTTATCTGGCCTCAAAATTACGAGGAGCTGTTCTTCAGATTGTTTTTATTCACATGTGGCAGATTTCTCTTCTGATTCAGGCTGTCTAGTCAGGCCCCTCCCATTTTTAGGAGCTGGAGCCTCCATTTACGAGGAGATTCTCATCTATCAAATGGATCCTTATTTGTAAATTTTTTTTTTTCTTCCATTTTCACAAAGTTGTGAAGAAGTAATCCATCTCAACCTTGTCCTTTTCTGTGGGATCAGTGGGGTCTTCCCTCACTCCATCTTATACAAACCTGAGCTGGAAGCTCAACTGTGATTTTCCCTGTTTGAAATATTGTGACCTCCCTCCCTTGAAACAAAAACCAGGAACCAGAGGAGTAGACTGACTGAAGAAACAACTCCTGGCTTTCTGAAGCTATGGACTTGAATTGGATTGCTGGGGGTTTGTAGAGAAAGGCGACAAGTTTCAGTACCTCTGGCATGCTGTCCCAGGGAACTGGGACTCCCACTAACTTAAGAGGTTTTTAAACATTGAAAATGACATGGCATTACAATAAATTTGGATTTGCTCATAATGACGTGCTTTCGGATGCTCTTACTTGATGGAGGTGGGATAAGTGTCAGTTGAGGAAGTAGTTAGCAAGTGCAACTGTTTTTCTATAGTGCCATACTTTTATCTTCCTAAAACAAATATCTTGAGCTGGGAAATCCTGGATTCTTTGAAGATATAGTAAATCATCTATGGGTGCTTGGTGAGTTAATTTTCTAAAGTAGACACGTAACCCTCACTGCTGACATTTATTCAGGACTAGGACACTTAATTGTACTGCAAAAAACACTATAAGTGTTTATCTTGATTCAGGAACAATGTCTTTGATGTTACACTAATTTTAGGGCCGGGCTGAGTGAACTCGGGTGGGTAAGTAGATTTGAGTATTTTATTACATGGGAGGCACTGCTGACCTTGAAATACTATAGTGAAGAAAACTTAAGCACAGGATAAATGTATGATGACATGCATCTTCCATTAAAACATATAGGGTAGTTCCACTGACCTAAAAATCTTATGCTATGCCTATTCACCCCTCTCTCCATTATACATTTGTCCAAACTCAGAGAATGTACAACACCACGAGTGAACCCTGGTGTAAACTATGTATGGTCTTTGGATGATATTGGTGTCAATGTAGGTTCATCAATTGTCACAAATGTACCACTCTGGTAAGGGATGCTTATAATGGGGGAGGTGATGCACAGGACATATGTGGGAAATCTCTGTATCATCCTCTCAATTTTGTGAACCTAAAACTAGTCCAAAAAATAAAGTCTATTAAAAACATTTTCAGCCAGGTGCCATGGCTCACACCTATAATCCTAGCACTCTGGGAGGCCAAGGCGGGATGAT